CTGAAAAAAACATCGTAGGTGTTTACGTCTAATACCACAACATCGCCTAATGCATGCACCTTTCCTAATCGAAAAGCGACGTTGGTCATCCATCCCACTGTTTTAATCTTTTCTTCGTCTGCTGAAACGAGTTGGTCTTTCTCTGTAAGCATGATCAAATCGTTTTTCCTGCCTTCCCTTTCAACTACTCACAGTGAGATAGCCAAAATAGCCGCTCCCAAATCAATAATTGCATTGTACAGAATACCCCATATTTCGATGTCACATTCCGCAGATTTCCACGGGATAAGTTTAATCCGCAGGAAATGATCCTCTTTCTGTATTAGTCCTACCCGTACTGGATCCGACGTGCCATCCGCGTTTTCATCTGGTGTGGGGCCTTTAGCCTTTACGTTCGTTGTTCGAGCGAGGGCGAATCGTTTTCAATTCGCCTTACAGTGTAACAGTTGTAACATTCGCTCATTAGCTTGTTCAGAGATCGAGAGCAGATGGCCAATCGGAAGTGGAATCCGATGGTCCAAGGCTCAGATGATTTTGAGCACATCGATTTCCCCAGTGACGAAGGTGGGTCCTCCCGACTCCATGTCTCCTGAAGAAGGTCACCACTCCGCCACTTCTTTCTGTTCCGGCGCCGGCCTAATCGTTCCAATCATCCCAAGCCCAGGGTAACCCAGCGTACGTATTGATCTAACGGGATGAGCTCAACAACCTCTTCCGTGGTTGCCAATGCGCTTCCTACACCTTCCATTTCTTCCATCAGGGCTCCTACCCGTCCAGGTCCGTTAGCGATGGGAGCCGCTGCCATCGGTGCAACTCCGACCCGTTGTTGCGGGGGCCGGTGGGGGCAATCACGGGCTAGATGCCCTGGCTGATGGCATGCATAACAAACGTTCAGATTGCTTGTGGCTCCTCCGAGAGTAGGCGCCGGGGCCAGCCCTTGTTGGATCGGAGGGGCACGCACCGCGATGGACCGCATGTTTCTCATCATGGCTTCTAACCAAGCGTTATGCTCTCGCTGTTCCTTTTTGCTTTCCTGGATTAGACTAATTAACGTCTTGGTTAGTTCAAAAATGGCAGTGGACTCATTTGTCCTCACAGGGTTCTCAATCGCTGGCGGGGGTGTCGTCATTACAGGTGCTGGTATCACAGGAACAGGGACACTTATGATTACACTCGGGGCGGTTCGTTTAGGGGCTATCTGTTCCAGATAGGTGACTGGTCCAGACACAAATCCCATATTATCGAACTTGTTCTGCAACGAGGCCAACTCAGCTCTTGCCCTTGCGAGCTCGGACGAATCTCCTTTCTTAGAATAGTCTTCTCCTTCCAGGAAGTTCGCCGCGAACTTTCGTTCCATCTCCTCTGCAGCGGCCATGATTTGTTGCAGCGTGTGATTGATGGGGAAAAACTGCTTTCGCAGCTTTGCCCTTATCGTTCGACTGCGAAGCCCATCAATAAACAAATCTCTCCCGACTTGCTCACCTCGCTCAGTTTTCACAAACACTCGGTAGAACCGATTTCGATACTCTGCGATAGACTCGAGAGGTTTTTGCACCCGGTCTTTGATCATGTAGAGTGCTTGCTCTGGGTGGACATAATCAAATCGATTCAGAAAATCTCGTTCGAAGGTCGGAAGATCAACCCGTACATAGGTACTAAACCAATGATGAGCGTCTCCTCCTAATCGAGCGGGAATGTTTACCTGAGCTTCGTTATCGTCATACTGCTGTGCTTGAAGCGTGGCCAACCATGCCCCTGCAAGATGATGTGCAGGGTCAAATAGATAGAGATCAGGTGGCGTCATGGGAGCCTGTGCTCGTGGGGCGGGTTGATTAGGATTTGGTTGATTAACATTCTGCTGCGGATTCAGATTCTGTGCATTAGCGTTTATGTTGGCCGCCCGTCGATTAGCCGATCTACTTCGGGTGATGACGGGGTCGCGTCTATGCGCGTTCCGGGGTCGAGGTCGCCCTCGGTTAGCCTGATCGCCCAATTAGCGTGCTATTAATCCTAAAACCCGGCCACGTGTCGGGCTCCGATACCAACCTCACGCCCAGCTCGACTTCCTGATCGGAGTAGGATGTGGGCCTGGAAGTGCGAAAAGGGGTGTGCCAAGGATTTTTGGGAAAGTGGGGGTGGAGTCCCAGGTCAGAACTGAGATCTCCTGTGGCAGAGTTTTTCGGGGGCACGAGTGTAATTTGGCGAAGAGGGCGGACTGCCTCTTGTCATAAGGCAGATGGCATGCGCGGGTCATTCAAGGCCGGGCGAGCCATTGGTTCCGAGGACGGTGGTTTGCGGGAAGGTCCCTCCGGGGTGGGTGGGGTTCCGATGAGTCAGGCCGTCGGAAGTTGCCACGTGGCGTCGGTCGTCGTGCGTTTGGGTTAGGCCTTTGGAATTCCGGGGTCCTCTGATCGCCGCGTCGTCGACAATTTCCGCAAGGTGTACTGGGCCAGTAGGGGGATATGGCCTTCCATGGGACGACGCTGAGTTGGTGATACGGAAGAAGAAGGAGGAAGGGAGGGAAGCTGGTGGAGATAACGACAAACCCGGGGTGGGTGAAGTAGTGGGTGTGGTCCTGAGTGGGGAAATCAGAGCACCGGCGGTCGCTAGTGGTCGTGAAGTGAAACTCCCTAGAACACAGTTGATTCTCGGTTAGGCAAGGATATCTCTGTCGGAGGATCTCATCTATCCAAGGGGTAAAGTAGTCCGGTTCATACAACAACGACTCCGAGCTCTCTGAGGGTGTCATTATGTCATCGCAGAGCCACGAGATGCCTAAGGGCGGGTCTGTGCCGATGGGGATCACCGCGTGCGAGCACGTGCAGGCTTGTGCGAATCGAGTCGCGCTTACTCGTGTTCGCCCAGGATGATCGCTCCGTCGCAGACCCCGGATGGCCGTATCCAATCAGACAGTATTTCTGCAACCGATGGTTCTTTTTGGAATTGACGAATCGACACAGGGGCACGTGTAAATGCGCAGATCAAGTCGCGTTTACACACGTCCTCGCGCGACGTTCGCTAGGCCAGACATCCGATTGCCTAATCACTCCGTAATTTCCGAGCATGCAAGATGCAATAACCACAACAACTCAATCAAACGATAAGCGAAAACGAGAACAGGATTACCGATTGCGCAAAATTCCTATCCTACTCATGAGTGCATCAAATGTAGTAAACAAAGACAAAGGCAAGGATCCGATAGGAAATAAAATAACCAAACATGACATCCATACATTCATTCAGCAGCACACACACAATGCATCTAAGATGGAAATCGCAAAGACAAGTGTGAGCAAAAACCCAAGTCCGGATTCCGAAAAACAGAAAACGGGCAAATCACCCGGAGCCGAAATCAAAATTTATATACACGAGACAGGAGGGAGAAAAGATAAAAGAAACAACAAATCCACGTCCATCAACCTCAACTCCCTCTTCCTCTCTCTCCTTCTCCGGTGCGGACAGTCCGTCGTCGCGCACCAACCCACGAAGCCGTCACCCCGCTTAGTCCTCCTGCACCCGTCGGGTTCGCCCGCGCCCACAGTCTGTCGTGGCCTACGTCAACCCCGCGCGTTCAGCACTAGCTCGTCCGGTCGCCCGACTCCTACTCTACTCACCTCTTACTTCGCTCGTGTGCCGACCCTCTCTGATCGCGCAACCCCAAGCTTCCAACAGCTGGTTAAGAGAGCTAACTAATCGCGCAACCGAAATTTATGGCGTGCATGCATGCGCGAAGAACACGAAATTACAAGGATTTAGAAAGAAGATTAGAGAGGAAGCACCTACGTTCTGCATGACCAGGCCGCGGCGTGGGGGACATAGCTGCTCTCCACGCATCGATCTGATCATGCGGACCACGGCTACCAAAAACACAGCAAAAAAAAGAGAAGAAGGGCGGGAAAGACGAAGCACAAGAAGAAAGATACAGTTACAATGACGCCAGCCCAAAATTACAGTTACACACCTGATTAAAGGCGCCGACTAATCAGAATTCCGTTGCAGCCGCATAAAGAAGCACGCAAGCAAAAGGCGCTGCGCGGCAAAAGAAAGTCCTAATTACAAAATTCCTGAATTCCTTTCTAATGCGAAAAAGCAAAAAGCGCAAGTTCCGGAAAGAAAGTCGGGCTCTTCCTCGTTGGCCAATCAAGGGAAGCTCGGCATTACGGAGGCTGTGCAACTGGCTAAGTGTGACCGGGTTTTGGTCCGCTTATGAAACTTTACAAGTTCAAACATGAGGACAAACCGGCCTGCGAATGGACCGCGAGGTTCCATTTCCTTAAAAAAAGGGAACAAATTCTGACGGAGTTCGAAGCCATGGGAATGGATGCAGGGCTGTGGGATGGGAGTAGGAAGCTCGTGGTGGACGCGTCGCTGTTCAAGGAATGCCCTCTGTACATGGGATGCGACGACGACAAGAACATCAAGGCCACTGAAAAACTGGCGGCCAACGAAAAGTTGACCCATGAGTGGCGGAACAAGGTCGTATCCGTGTTGAACGGCAGCAGGGCGAAGCGACAGGAGGTGACGCTCACGGAGGGCATGCTCAACATTCTCTAGACAGACACGGGGGAAATGACCTCAGTAGCTCCTTTTGCCGTCGACCCGCAGTCGTTTACGACTCGAGGTTGTCGGCGGGAGACGTTGCGGCGGTGGGGGTCCATCAGAAAGTCACTCCCACGGACATATCTGAGATGCCTTTCCATCCTTGCAAGTGGCCATTGTCGACCACGGGACACAAAGGGAAGGTGTACAAAGAGATGGAGCGGAACCCGGGGCAATTGGTGAATCTGTTGGCATTCCTCTGCAAAAAAGGGGAAGGTGTCACATTCATTGGGAAACCGCATGCGCAAGTCGTGTGGGAGGTGTTGCAAAGCGGGCGTCATGTCGTCACGTTGGAAGGAAACTCGGAGTTGTTGCAGTACATGGTGGAATACGTCAAAAGCGAGGTCAAATCCGGAGCCAGCTGATGCGAGTTCGCCGTGCGGAGCAAGAAAGCAGTGCGCGTCTGGGATCCGTCGACGGACATGTGGTTCAAATTGAGCGAGAGGAAAAAAAACAAGATTTTTCGCTTCCTCTTCCTGGAAACCCGGCCGAAGAGTAATGCCGACCAGGAGCACATGCGACACAGGGACCACATGTTGTCGTTGCTTGACAACTACCATGGCGCCGATCGGAGAAATGCGAAGAACTTTCTCGACAGGTTGGCGGGTCTGTACTTCAAAGAGTCTATTCAGATCTTGAGGTACCACGACTACGCGTCGATGGTATCCACCGAGGATGAGGATGAAACGGGGATTGTATTTGATGCTGGAATGACAAAGGAGGGCAGCGACACGGAGAGTCTCGACATCGGTTACGCTCCCTCGCCAGCCCCAACCACCGCCGGTTCTTCAGCAGCCGGCCCGTCGACCAGCCAGCCCCCTCAAACGACACAGACGTTAACGACAACCCCGGGAAAGACACCGAAGAAGTTGTCGTCAATACTGTGCACCGTTGGAGCTGCCGCTGCCCCGTTGCGTCCTGGGAGTTTTGTTCCTCTCGATCACCCGTCTCGACGCGACGAGAGCATCCACTTCGAGAGCCACGACCACCACACGTGGTTAACCAGGGGTGTTATTTTCGACGAATGTTGCACCGAATTGCACTGAAACTGTCATATTGTGCTGATTTTTTGCTTTTTTTCTCGTTTTTCTTTTTGTGTGATATATATGTGTTTTAGGGTACGTCATTTGTGCAGTTTTGACATGTTTTGATCAATAGTGAAAAAGTTGGCATTTTGTTAGATTCGTTGGACGCTTCATTTTGACTCGGACAGTGTCTTTGTGTTAGGGTTTCACAGTGTTTTTTTTGGCCTGTTTCCTTTTTTGATGTTTGCACTATGGTCTCATATCGTTTGTTTTTAAAAAGTTTGATGAAATTCGCGGCGCAATTGCCAACGAAAACGGCGAATATTTGGGCCCCCGTTAACCGTCTCTCTCGACCACACCAGGTCCAGTGAGGCGGATTGGGGCCATGACATGATTTGGCATCCAGGGACCATACAGCCCGCGGTTTTGAAGGGCGAGTGGGTCATGGCCATGATCAATGACGACGGGCAATGGGCGTCATACGCGCGCCTGTCTGTGTCCGAATTTCTGGAGTTGGCTAGGGAAATGGTGGCAGAGAAGGTTAGGGGAGAAAATCCCGGGGTCGCCGGGGACAACCTGTCCATCGCCTCCACCACGGACAGACAGTTTCAAGAACTGCGCGCCAAAAGGTGGTTGGAAATGGAAGACGCTTTCTACGACCTTGACACCAGCCCTTCGAAGGGGAAGGTCG